CCACTCTGGGGTTGAGGTGAATAAAATAACTGTGTTGTGACCTAAATAACATGCTGTTGCTATCTGCAGAAAGTATTAAAGCATGAAATCCCGCATTTTTTATGTACGAACGCATCCTGTATCATAACTACATATGTGCCGTTTGTAACAAACCAAACCGCGTGAAAATCAGTTGAAAATTCAGTGAGTTATCCTATTTTACTTGTGCATACAGCTCCTTCCTCAATAGAAGTGAATGCACTGTGGAGGCGAAGCGAGACCCATCCAAGATGGCGGCCGGCGAGGACGTCGGGCAGTCGATGCGGCGTCTATGTATATATGTCTATGTACCAGACAGCCTCTAAGTCCTTACCCGCTAACGTTAGCTCATGTACAACACAGGTACCACACAGAAACTTTTACAAAGGGTCATAATGTGCTTCTAGTGACTGTCAAATCGCCAGCGAAAGATGTTTTAAATGCGGACACGGAGAACAGCTGCCTGCTCTCATGGGACAAAGATCCTCTGTGAAGGAAGACGGTTCACGCTGCTCTGTCACCAGGAACAAAGTGGGAGGCAAAGATCCTCTCTGACGAAGAGGGCTCACTTTGCTGCAGGGTTCACCAAAACGTTTTTTGTTTTTTCTTTTAATAAATTGAACACACATTAAAGAACATACAAGATCCTGTAGAGAATTAATACATATAATACAATACAATAAACATGGTCAAATTAAATGAAGGAAGAGGATTTTTTAAAGGCAAATTAAATATTGGGGATTTATGTAAAAATATACATAGAGACATATAAATAATTATATAATTAAAGATATGAAGGCTATGTTAGGTGAATACTCCTGTCAGTGACCCTGACCACTGGCATTGGCTAAAGAACTGGAGTTGGTCACCGGACGCTGCGCTCTGGCTGCCCACTGCTCCTAGTGTATACAGAAGGATGGGTCAAATGCAGAGGTCAAATGTATGTAATGTGCTGAGAAAGGACAATAAAGAATCTTCTTCTAATAATAATTTCTTAATAACTAGGAGATAACAAAAGAATAAAGAGATTTCAAAGACTTAAAAAATAAGGCACATGAATCAAAACAACAAGAAACGAGATATATCCCCAGTCATGCACACCCAGTTTTAATAAACTCAGTACTGTTTTTCAACACATATATTGTTTTGTCTTCATTCAATGTAATTAGCACATATTGTTATTGCGCCATTGGTTTTGGCCTTGGTGCCCCACATTTTGGCCGTGATGCCCCAATAAATTTGTATTTATCAAAGGCCAAAGTGGCCTTGCCCTAAAAATATCTTAACTCCAGGCCTGTAAATGTGTATTTCCTCTCCTGTTTCTGTCCTCGGAGGGGCCAGTTACAGTGTGCTGCTTTTTTATGTGTTGCTGCCTCCATTGGCTGAGCGTCTCTGCTGACGTAAGATATAAGTCATGAGAGAAAATAAGCACCACACAGCCAGAAAAAGAACCTCTTAGACAGGGCAAGTAAGAATTTAGATGGGGCAAGTAGATTTGAGAAGTACTTGCCCGGCAGGGCAAGTAGGAAGAAACCTTAACATCGGACCCTGCAAGGAATCACATACTGATATACTTTGGTTTCTTATTTTACAGTTGTTTCTAATTATCTGATATGCACAGACTGATACTGGTACAAGTAATATTTTGTGTTCCTCAACAGTCCTGTTTTAATGTGTAATGTATCTGTACATGTGTGAGGTGATTTATTGTTCTTTAATAGGCTGGTTGTCCTTTTTCTTAAAAAGATAGATATACAGCGAGGGGCCAGCATTTGTATCAGGGTGGCCGAAGCCCTCCTGTCCTCCCTTGGGGGCGCCACTGTGGAAGTGGAGAGATGGAATTCTACAAACACACAATTTCGAAGTCCAAATTACAAATCAGTCATCTTTACTTTGTTTTGTTCAGCGGAGAGCAACCTTCTGCTGCCTGGAAACTTCTCTTCGGGTTGTATCTGAAACACCCTGCTGGATAAAGTGATGTCAATGAGTCAGACTTGCTCACTTCTGGATGGCAAACCTTGAATGTTTTATCTCTCTCCTCCCACCACCCTTCTCTCTCTGTGTTTCTCAGATGCTGATAGTGTCGTCCACAGAGCCTCGCACCCTGAGGAATTGCGACCCTCCCCAGGTCTACAGACCACCCACAGATGAAGACAGGCCTGTTGGTCGCACCATCACTTTCAGACCAATGCCTCGTTTACCGGTCAAGGGTAAGTACACCCAGTTCCTCTGTGTTATTGAAATTGCTTAAATTAGGTATACAGTAGACCTGGGTGAAATGGAGAAAACCAAACATCATGCTATTTTTGAGCAAATACCTCAATATCAATATTGTGATGATATTGTATGCTTTACTATTGGTGCTTTGACAAAATATTTACACAATGAGATTTCTGATAAATAATTATCAGTAATAAGTATCATTGTGGATATAATGACTAAATGGGTAAAGGAAGATATCGTTAATGTTTCAGAGGCTGATGTTACGCAAGTGGTTACGTTAGTCAGAGGCCTCCACGTGGGGAATTCAGAGTTAGATTTGAAATTATGCCTTTTTCCCTGCAGTCTCTCTCTTCTATTGCTGCTGTTCGCAGTCCTGTAACGTTATCCCCACCCCTCGCAGTCGCCATGTCTGTCAGCTCAGCTACCTGTTCCACCTGTAGAGACTGATCTCTGGTAGTGTGTGATGTGCGCTACATACCATACATTCTCAATACAGTATTGCCATATAAAGAAATAGAAAGTTGAGCATCAGCATTTTTGATGGTATTGAAAATCATACGGTTTGGATATCTTAATACCCTGGGGCTGTATTCACAAAGCTTCCGAGTGCCAAGAGCAGCTCCTGGTGACGAAATTCTAAGAAAATTCTTAGAATTCTTAAGATTTCCCCTTAAATTTAAGAATAGGTCTTTGTAAAAATAAAAGTTATTCGCAGAGCATCTTAGACCTTAAAAGAGCTCCTAAGATGAAAAACTGTTTGGAGCAGGGAGGAGGACTTTTAAGAGGCTTTAGCGTTTCCTAAGCAGTGTTGGGTAAGGGTTACTTTAAAAGTAATCAAAGTACGTTAGTGTGTTACTTTTAAAAAAAGTAACCAGTTACTTTACTGCGTTACTCCCTGAGTAAAGTAACCCATTTACTTTAAAAGTACTTCCAACGTTACTCCCTGAGAAAAGTAACTCAAGCACTTTTAAAGTACTTTTGAGTATTCTACATTTCCTATTGAGCAATGGACCACAGGGTGCTAAGCCTACATTTTTTTGTCTCCAAAATTAAAGTTATGGACCGCTTGCCCTTCACTGAGATCCAATTCTCCCATCACAGCCGTCACTTTAACCAGTAGAAACACAGAACGATCTGCTGCCGTAGACAACGTATGACAACAACACCCCAGCATTTTTAATATTTTCTCTAGGGATGTTACCACCAGGGGTCGTGTTAACCGGATATTCTAGGTCATTGACCGGTTTTTTACAACAGTGACCAGAAAATCTGAAGGCCATCGGTCATTTTGACCGGTTGCAGTTACCACCCCTGCCCACTTGGCGGTGTAGTGCACAGTAGGTACTGCAGAGAAAAAGTCATTCATCTGCTTCATGTAGCGTTGTTGACATAACGCCCTGGACACACCGGCTGCGGAACTGAAGCACAGCGCCCAGCAGCGGAGGTAGTTTTCAGTCAGCGCCCATGTTAACCTATCTGACTGTCAGTTCGGCATCTGGTCTATTTTTCACGGGAGCCGCGAGCACTTCTGTCAAGCTGGATAGAGCGGATCGTACCAAACAGGAAGTCGGACACAGAAAAGACGAGAGAATCCGGCCAATTTTCAAAATAAAATAACAGCGCGCACTGAGGAACGTGAGGAGAAAATACCGTATTTGTAATTTAAAATAACACAACAGTGCATAACCGAACACATTTTTCAATACCATAATCACTTCATTACAATTTTAATTTTGTGTCACCGAGCCTACAGGCATAACTACATAACGCCCTGGACACACCGGACGCGTTAGTGACGCATTAGTGCCGTCCGGTGTGTCCAGGGCGAAGCCTAATGGCACGGGTGTGTGGATGTCTGTTCATCTTTTCGTTCATGTCCTTATTAATGCACACTTTATAACTTGCTTGTTGGATTTATTAAAAACGAACGAATGAAAACTAAATGTCTTTGAATATCTTTATTATCATTTAAAAAGGAAAATTAAAATGACCGGTAAAAATAGATTATGACCAGATTTTTATGACCCTGTCGGTCAAAATGACCGGCGACGAAAAAGTCTAGTGCAACGTCTGGTTACCACACAGAGTAAAAGGGGGAAATGATGGTGTGAAACAGCAGAGGCATGAAACAGCATGGTGGTGATGGTGTGAAACAGCATGGTGGTGATGGTGTGAAACAGCAGAGGCACTTTGTCAACCCGCTGAGTTAACGTTACTGTCATTAGCATCAAGCTAACAAACAATGGTACACTGGCTTGGGAAGGCCTGCAATGGTTTTCATACTTGCCCAGACTGACCCAAGTTCATTTGCTGCCAGTTTTTGTTCCAAGTCTAATTTATAATTTTGCCTGTAAAATTCTAATTTTCGATACTTTAGTGGCAGAATGCAGATCGGACGCAGTTCCCTACTTGAATGAGCAGTAGCTCAGTCCATAGGGACTTGGGTTGGGAACCGGAGGGTCGCCTGTTCGAGTCCAAATATGGAGCGTGGACTGGTGGCTGGAGAGGTGCCAGTTCACCTCCTGGGCACTGCCGAGGTGCCCTTGAGCAAGGCACCGAACCCCCCCAACCGCTCGTGGGCGCCTGACCAAGGGCAGCCCCCTCACTCTGACATCTCTCCACTTTGTGCATGTATAGGTCCTGTTTGTGCATGTGTGTGTCTTTCGGACCTGTGTGTAATGGACAAGCAAGAGTGAAAACATTGAATTTCCCCTCAGGGGATTAATAAAGTAAATAAACTTAAACTTAAAACTTAAACATAACTTGAACGCAAGAGACTTCCTTTGAAGACATGACTTTACTGCTTTGTTAACCCATGGTTTGTTGTTAGGATATATTTTAACCCACTTATATGGGATAATCATGTCCCTGCAGAAGGTGATGTATGAACATGTTAGATCGACCAATAAGTCCAAATCATCATCACAGGACTGGGTAAAAATGTTGCAGTCAGTGCAGTTAAAACACTCTTGTAGTGAGAGAACCGATTCTTCAGACCAGACCTTTATGTCCTTAGTTGCAGGCTTTTCTCGTTTGAGGACAGTTTTATACGTGGGGAGCAGATGCACACAGTTATGGTCAGAAGAGCCCAGAGGAGGGAGTGGAAGAGATTTGTATGCGTCCTTTAGTGATCCATAACATAAATCCAGTGTCTTATTTCGTCTGGTTGGACAAGGGACATACTGGTAGAAGTTTTTATGAGTCTTATTAAGGGAAGCATGATTAAAATCACCCAAGATAAAATTTGGTGCATCGGGAGAAATCGCCTGTATTTTCTGCACCACCTGAAAAATGGTAGTAGAGGTAGCGGCAGGATCTGCTTTCGGGTGGATGTACACAATTGTAATGAAAAGTTGTGGGAACTCATGGGGCAGATAAAAAGGATGTAATGAAACAGACAAGAGTTCTATGTTTGGCATACAAATACGCTCTCTGACAGTCACAGCAGTGCAGTAGCATCTGTTTACATATAAACATACCCCTCCTCCTTGTGATTTCCCAGTCAGCTGTTTCTGCCGGTCTAGGCAATACGAAGCCCCCAAATACAATGGTAGGGGAAACACTGATACTGCTCAAACCTAGTGGACAATAAAAATAGATAGATATCAGGAGTTTGCATGATTTCTATTTGTATCTCTTTGTGGTTGTTTTATGTGTGTAGTTTGCGTATGCGTTTTGTGTCTCTTTATGGTCGTTTGATCAACTTTCCAACTAGAAATGTCACTTCAAACCGGGCTCTGACCCGTACTCATCTGTACTGCTTTGTATCTCCATGTTGATGTGATAAAAAGAGTGCATTATGGCTTTAACAATGTAAGATTTTTCCACCCTTAGCTGAGCGTCCTGGCACCAACACAGCCCCTCCTGGCACAGTACTCAAAACTCCAGCACCAGCCATGGGCCCAGTCAGAAGTAAATTAGTAATTAGAGTGCCCATTGGCAAAATGCCTCCACCCCAGCAAAAGCCATCTACCACAGCTGGAGCCATCTCCATCTCTCAGTCTGCTGCCCTCCCCACCTCTCAGTCTGCTGCCCTCTCCACCTCTCAGTCTGCAACCACCTCCACCTCTCAGTCTGCAACCACCTCCACCTCTCAGTCTGCTGCCACCTCCACCACCTTTACCTCTCAGTCTGCTGCCACCTCCTGCCAGCGGGGTGCAGCAGAAATGCTTGTCGCACCTTCTACATCCTCACAGACTGAGACTGTAGTAAAAGGACAAGTCACATCAAGTTCTGGCTCTGCTGCTGTGCTAAAGACTGACAGCACTGGCAGCTCTCTAAACCAGACTACCCAGCAGCCCTCAGAGCAACACTTCACCACCCTCTCCACCACCTCAGCTTCAAATTCCACTTCATCTGGTCCTCACACGCTCCCCACCTCCTCTGCCACCTTCCAAACTCCAGTCCCTAGTACTGCACCATCCTCTGGTGCCCCCTCCACTCACCCCACACCCACACTCTCCACCTCTGCCGCAGCATTTCATGCCAAGTTTGGTCGCACCAGCAAATACGCCACAGAAGACAGTCCCAGGATGTTTGGCGTCAAGAGTGTAGTAGACTTTGAGAGGATCTATCGCTACCTGAGTGCCATCCACAAGCCGAATGAGGACTGCCATCTTACCCCCATGGGTGAGTCAGAGTCACTACTTGCTGTCATCTGAAAGAATGTTTTATTGTTAATATTTGCAGTCACATTCGACATGCAGCATCCAATCAGTGCAACCCTATCGTAAGAATAAAGGTTGGCAATTACATTTTTGCAAACCAGGGATACATTACATTTGTATGCAGTGGATAGGTTAAAACTCCATGTTTCAACATTGTGTTGTTTAATGTGTGGTTAAGGTTTAGTACAAAAAACACTTGGTTATGATTAGGAAAAGATCACATTTGGCTTAAAATAGACGAGCACGATATCCTTGTGCAATGATTTCTCAGGGGAAAAAAACAACCACTTTTGGGGCACTATCCCCGCTGACAGGTCACTAAAAAACACCCATGTTAGGAGCCCAAAAAATCCACTGGAAAACACTGATAGGTTGCTACAAAACATCCAAGTTGAGAGCCTAAAAAGCCGCTGGAAGAACACTGACAGGTTGCCATAAAACACCTACGTTTAGAGCCCAAAAAGGTGTTGGAAAAAGTCAAACAGTCAAACATTTGGAGCCTAAATAGCCATTGGAAACACCCACGTATGTAGCCTAAAAGGCTGCAGGAAAAACACTGACAGGTCGCCACAGAACATCCAAGTTGAGAGCCTAAAAAGCTGCTGGATAAACACTGATGGGTACAAACAAAATACCAACATTTGGAGGCAAAAAAACACTAGGAAAACACTGAGTCACAACAAATCACAATATAACAAGGCCAAAAAACAGCTGAAAAAAACACTGACAGGTTGCTACAAAACACCCACGTTTGAAGCCTAAAAAGTAGCCAGAAAACCACAAGGGTCACTACAATTCCCCATGTTTGGAGCCTAAAAAGCCACTGGAAAAACACAAACCAGTTGCCACAAAATACCTACATTTGGAGCCTAAGAGGCTGCAGGATAAACAGTCACACGTCGCTTTAAAACACCCATGTTTGGTGCCTAAAAGCCATTGGAAACAGCAATGACTTGCTACATCACAACCTGTTGTGTTGTTTGTCTCAAACAGTGGATTGCATCTTAGCAGGTGTCTTGCCACAATTTCCTGCACCTCCAGATTACAAAGGCAGCTTGTGTGCTTTATCTCTTTAGAAATGTTAATATGGAACATGCAAATGTAACATCTTCTTCCTTAAAATGGAATTTACTCAAAAAATGTTTTGTTAGACAAGTTATTTGGCTGTTTGCGATACAATCTCAGCTGCCATCACACACATACACACACACACACACACACACACACACACAGACAGCAGGCAGTAACAATATAATTTTCTGATGTATCAAAAGTAATATATTGGCCAACAAAATGTCCATGTTCCTGCAGTTTTTGTTTAGAAGCAATATAAATTTTATGAGACATTTCCTACCACTGCATTAAAATCTGTCAATTTTCTGATATTGTCTTGTGTCCTCCAGAGAGTGCTATAGTGTTGGACCTGTTAATGTCTCTCCCAGAGGAGCTCTCCCTGCTGGACTGCAACAAACTGCACAAGCATCTCATAAAGGTATAACATGCTACACACTAGTTAGGTGGTCACTGGTTAAAAAGTACAGTAGCTAAGTCAGAGCTTTTTAGGAGGCAGTAAGGAGAGTCTTGACCCTAAATGAATTTTGTGCATCTGCAAGGCCTCTAGAAATCAAGGTGTCCTATTAGTTTGTGCAGGCCATAGCTGTGGCTGGATGTATGATGTTTGCAGGTTGTCTGTCTGTACAACTGTGTCCCATTCTTGTGAACGTGATATCTCAAAAAAAAAACCTTAAGGGAATTTCTTAAGATTTGGCACAAACGTCCCCTTGGACTCAACGACAAACTGATTACATTTTTGTGGTCACTGTGACCTTGTCTGTCTCATTTGTGTGAACTTAACATCTCAAAAACTATGGAGCTACATTTGTTTCTTTATTATTCAATCAAACAGAGTAGGTTTTGCAATCAAAAAAAGATTTGAGAGCAAAAGTATCAATATTGCAATCAAAAAATGTTTTATTAAAAAATGCAAATCCTAAAATTTTGTTTGCGAGTCATTTTTTTCCGTTTGCAAGTCAAAAAGTTTTGCGAGTAAAAAGTTGAACCTGGTGGGCGGGGCCTAAACTGAAAGCTGTAAGACGTGTCTCTATTGGCCAGTCTCAATCGGAATGACAGCTTGCAAAGCATTTTTTTTTCTTCTCTCGGTTGGTGGATTGCAAACAATTTAAAGGTGCATATCGCCACCTACTGTACAAGAGTGTGCAACATCATGTCATTTAGCCTGTTTCTTAAATTCTACTCATCAGCCCAGTATGCTTGCAAAGCAACATGGGAGTTCTGTAGTTCAGTGCGGAAGCTGTGGCGAAAATCAATTCTGAAACCGAAGAAACCACTCGTTTTTCACCACAAGTGGTGTGATTAAAAAACAAAAATATGATACACATGCCAAAGCAGTAGGTGGCAATGTAACGGAAAGGCCATTTTGACCAATCAGAAGTTAGAGTCAATACCGGAATAGGGAAGTACGGAAAAAAAAAAAACAACCCAATCCACAAAAAGAGCGCGAACTAATTCAACAGCAGAGGCGCCTGAACGACCAACTATAGTACCACGAAAGCAGCGATGGGCCTGCCAACGGAGGTCCGACCCAGCAGGATCCAGAACCTCCGTTGGCAGGCCTGTCGCTGCTTTCGTGGTAGTGTAGTTGGGGTAGCTAGCTACTGAAGACCAGCAAAATCACCGTTTGTTTTCATTTATTCTTTCAGGTGGGTAAATGTCACCTAAGCACCTTCAGATTTTAGCAGTAGTGTACCCTTAATAGATAACTTGTTTATATAGTTTGTATTGTGATTCGTAATACTGTTTGAGGGAACTGTAACGTAACTGCATACGAGTGGATGCAACCGTCACTAATGCTAGTGTAGTTCCTCAGAGATTTAAGCTGTTAATATTTTAATTTTGACAATCTAACCTGTGACAACACATTAGCTAAAGTTGCAAGGACTGTAAGTGTTGGTAGCTGTTGTTGATTTTGTTTAAATATGTTGAATTATAATTTTATGAGTTATTGTTTGTCGGACGATTGAGCTAAGCTAACTGACGCTAACGTCAGCTGTCACTTGTTGCCATAGCAACGGTAAACATTCACATACGGGCTAAATGCAGAATCAAGCTTCATTGTGCATATAGTTAACACAGGATGTGGGATTTTTGTAGTTAGTAAACTTTTAGAAAAGTGCTATTTACCGTCGCTCTGACATCAAACAATGGAGACAGGTAATAAAATTCTGCAGTTATCCTATCTACACGCAACCGCTGGCACCGGAGTCTTCCAAAAGCTTCACCCTGGACTCCGGTTTCAAAGAAACGCGGTTTCAGGGCCCAAAAGTGCGGTTGCGTGTGGCCAAACAGCCAAATCGCATAGAATAATACACGGTTTCAGAAGTACACGGGTCCGTGTGGACTAGGCCTAATAATAGCAAGAATGTTTTATTTGAACTGGTGCATGTAGATTGCTTTTGTTTAGCCAGGGCAGAACTATTCGACGACGTAATGGTCAGTACCATCGGTGCCCTGGGGTGTAGCAGTAATGCCGACTGTCGAGCGAGAGAGGGAATCATGGGTGTAGCCCGCTCTGTATGTAGCCACGTCAAACCCACCAATAGAAGCTCTCGTGTCATCCATCAGTGTAGGCCCCGCCCATTAAGTGCAGTTGAACTTGCAAGCAAAACTTGAACTCGCAAGCAAAGAGGACTGAACTGCAGGCAAAAGTTTTTAACTCACAAGCAAAGAGGACTGATCTGCAAGCAAAAGTTTTTAACTTGCAAGCAAAAAGTACTGATTTATAAGCAAAATGATCACACGTTTTTACTTACAAACTTGATTTTTGATTGCAGTTCAAGAAATATGCTCTCAAAACAGTTTTATATGATTGTAACAAAAAGACACAAAAATACCTCCATAAAAAAACATCTTGAGGAATTTCTGTAAATTTGGGACCAATGTTCACTCGGACTCAACAATGAACTGATCAGATTTTGGTGGTCAAAGGTCAAGGTGACCCTGAGTCTGTCTTATTCACATGAATGCTATATCTCAAGAAGGAATTTCATCAAATTGACACAAACATCCACTTGGACTGAGGAATAAGATGATTTAAATTTGGTGGTCGAAGGTCAAAGGCAAAGGTCAATGTGACCTCACAGAACATGTTTTTGGCTACAACTCAAAAATAGGATAGGATGTAGGAGAGGAGAGAAGCAGCAGGTGGTCTGATGGTATGAAGCAGAAAGAGAAGGACCAGTAGCTGACCTCTCCCAGCTCAAGGTGAGAGCCACTCTGGTCTCAGACTCGTGTTCCCACCTCTGGAGGTGGTTTTGCTGATCAGATCACAAGTCGTCCTCAGTGTGTTTTGGGTGCATTTACAGGTGTTCGTTCATGTAGTAGAGCACTATCTGATTGCAATCTGATCACCCAAAACGCATTTTGGTGCAAGGTGTTAAGGAAGTCTATGATAGGTCCTCTTTTCCTATTAGCCCCTCTCACCTGCTCACTTTCAAGTTTCAGACTTCCCCCTTGCTGCTGAAATATCAGACCTCATCAGGAAATCCAAGCCAACAACCTGTCAGTTAGACCCTCTTTCCACTGTCATTGTAAAAGCCTGCTTACCTTCTCTGTCCTCCCTAAGAACTGTCATCATACACTCCTGCCTCACCTCCAGTAGTGTTCCTTCAGCTCTCAAATAAGTCACAGTAATTCCTGTTCTTGAGGAAAGATGGTGCAAACCCCAGCAATTTCAATAACTTTCATCCTATCTCTAAACTACTTTTTATTTCTAAAGTCCTTGAGAAAAACTGTTGAATCTCAGGCCCATGCTCACTTGTCTGACAATAACCTTTATGAGCAATTCCAGTCTGGTTTCCACCCCCTCCATAGCTGAGAAACAGCCTTGGTAAAAATCACTAATGACCTCCTCATGGCAGCTGACTCCGGATTCTTAACCATTTTCATCCTGCTTGATCTGAGTGCGACCTTCAACTTTTGACGCCGTCCTGGAAGAGGGATCCCTCCTCAGTTGCTCTTCCTGAGGTTTCTACCATTTTTTCCCCCGTCAAAGGTTTCTTTTGGGGGGGAGTTTTTCCTTATCTGTTGTGAGGGTCCAAAGGACAGAGGGATGTGGTATGCTGTAAAGCCCTCTGAGCCAAATTGTTATTTGTGATGTTGGGCTTTATAAATAAAATTGATTGATTGATTTCTCACAGCATCCACCTCAACAGACTGGCCTCCACTGGAAACACTGACACACCACTGGACTGGTTTAAATCTCTGACCGTACACAATTTATCCAGCTTAAAACATTCAAATTCTAGCCATGTCCAGTCACTACCGGTGTTCCTCAAGATTCTGTCCAGGGTCCCCTTCTGTTTATCATCTACCTACTTCCTCTCGGCTACGTCTTCTATAAATTGTAAATAGTGATGAAACCAGGTTACTTCTTATTGGCACCAAATCCACCTTAGCAAAAACTGACAGTCCCCACTTGTCAAGAGTCTGGGCATCATCCTCGACAGCACTCTATCATTCCAAGCTCACATCAATAATGTCACACGGTTTGCCTGCATCCATCTATGCAACATTAAATGCCTTCACCTGTCCCTCACACTCTCTACGCAACACAGGCTTCACTCCAACTGAGTGTGTGTACAGTGCCGTGCTGCACTGCTGTGTGAGTGGCTTGTTTGACTGTGCGTAACAGCAGCCTTTTGATGGTCATTTACACAGTCCATAACAGTAACTGTGTCAGGTAACAGGTGCACGCGTGCATTGGGGCAGAACTCCGCCTTGTGCGATGCAGAGAGCAGAGGAGAATTGTAAAGGTGTGACCATGTAGAGACAGAAATGACATGCCGTTGTGTAAATAAGATAGTTAACAAGTCTATTTAGTTTGTTTAATAATAGAACAAGGTATAGATCTGTTCTATAGGAAAGGTAACATTAAATGACTTCTGTTGTCATCTGGCGCTATATAGAAAATAAAATTAAATAAAATGATACCAGGAGATGGTATCACCAGCATGTGAGTTGTACAGTTGAACCATTGCTGATCTGTTGCATACCAAACTTGCAAAAGTTTGTTAATTTTTTTGCAGCGTTAGTTGTGCATTAAGCTGACAGGCCCTCTCTCTCTGTATCTGCAGGTGTACCGATTTGCCTCATCCACTGCTGACTCCAAGATGGCAGACAAAATGCTAAAAGACCTTAAGAATGAACTCTGTACTCACACAGAAGCACCGAGCAGTCAAAGCAGCAATGGAACAAACGTTGGGCAGAACTCTGCTGCAACTGCTGACAGCGGTGACATCACGGACAGTGGAGGGAAGAAACAGCAGCCAGATGAAGCTGAGAGCCAGTCAGCAGGGAGCAGTAACGCACTCAGCCACCCCCCCCTCAACCCTTTTATGGTGCCACTGAAACTGCTGATGCGCAAATAGGTCCACTTCGAAGAGTATCAAACTAATGTGTAATGGTTTATATAGAATGCTTTAGTTATGTGTATGTTCTATAATAATATATTATTTTTATACTCATTCCAGAGATGAGCCCCAGATTATTTGCTAATTGTTTGTCTCAGAGGTTACTGGGCTGGGTGTAGAACTTGTGTACCCCCCAGAAGCTCCAGAGTTGAATATCTGCTCAGATTCAGTCTTGTTTTCTTATTCTCTGATCAGATAGTTTCTCATTTAAATTGTTTTGTCAGTTTCAGACTTTTCAGTTTTATTGTTCAGTTTCTAAGACAGCATTAAACACTGATTAAACTCTAGAAACCAATGGCTCTATATGAATGCAGATTCTTTAGCCAAGAGGACAAGATTTTGATATCAGAAGCGTTCTGGTCTCAGTTTGTAGTCTGAGTGCTATTGACCAATCATGTTTGAGTGGGCTATGGTCGCCTGCAGGTAAACAAAACCTGCTCTGTTTCGGTGTGCTAGTGCACTGCTTAACATGTAAGGACAGAGTCGGGGACTTAAATTAGGTCAGTTTTTGACTGCCTGCATGCCTTAAGGGGAAAATCTCTTAGAGTGTGTCTCAAATTGCATACTTAGTTGCATATTTGGTTAGTACACTTCAATGTAGTACACTGTGTACACTACGTACTTCTTGTGTGGTGCACTAATTTCAGCAAAGTAGTGTTGTCTCTAATCGCGCACTGACTGCCCTTAGCACATTAGCTAGCAAACTAATGTTAGCACTTTATTATTGTTCGTGATACCAAATCATTACAGACCCAACAAACATTACTGACAGCTTCTGTGCAACAACATTGGTACTTAGTGCAAAAACCCTTTTAACTAACAGGCTCCTTGTTGTCCCCAGCCTCATTTCAAAAGCTTCCACTACGTCACAAAGACGTTTGGACCATTTTGAGTGCCCCAGAAGTACACTGCATTTTCCAGAACCATGCAGTGTGATCGCAGATGCACTTGTGCACTGAAAATATCAAGTGTTTAATACAGAATTATGTGATTTGAATTGAGACACACTGCTACAGTAGCATTATGATAACTGTACTTGTATTATATGATGGTGTGTCAAGCTAGGACTGTTCATTAGCCTGCACTGGTTGAGTTGTTTTGATTTAGCGAACGCTAGCTAGTCGCGCAGCTGCTATAAAATCTCCACACATGCAGTTAACTCACTATCTCTGCTTTAAGCAGTAAGAGTTGGGGACAAGCAAGGATTGTAAATAGAATACCCCCAGATAAGGGTGCTCCAATTGATTGGCCTTCTGTGGTTATTGGCAGATACTCATTCTCAATGGTTTGAAGGCTAATCAGTAGAACTGATCAATAACTCTCTCTGATGATGCTACATTATGAACAACAAATCAGCGTTGACATCAGCAGGAGAGCTAGTGAACCGCTGTAAGCAGCTGTCTGATGGAGGTTGCATCAAGTTATGTTATGATGCATTCAAGCTCTATTCAGTGAAAATGAGTATTTAGTAAAGGTAAATTGGAACATTTTCATGATGTGTTTGAATTCAATCTTGAAAAATGTAGCTTTGGGTGACAAACTTGAATAAATGCAGCTGTTTGAGGGAGAAAATTGTTGATGTTTTGACAGCAATATAAAATACACACTGATGTGTATGAATGAATTGCGCTCATTCAGAGGTAGTGTAATGAAGGGCAGTTCTTCAGTGTTTATTTTTTTTATTTTTTTTTTTGATATTTTTATTTTTTTTGTAACATAACTGAAAAAACTTAGACAATGAGCTAAATGGACCTACGTCAAGTGATGTAGTCAAACAGAACACTTGCTAAATTAGCCTAATTATGTTGCCTAAGAAAGGGGCAAATGTCAAGCTCATTGAAAATGACAGAAGCTGAAAAGAAGTAACCTTGTGACAGTTTTATTTTAGTTGTAAAATCAGTTTATAAACTTAATATGTAAGCCCTGTCTTTAACAGCAGTTAGAACAGTTCACATTGTTGTCACCTTTTTCTCCCCGGATGAGTGTGCACCCCTGTAACTTGAAGTTGATAAACCAAACAACATCAGCCTACAGGACAAAGCCATGGTAGCTTTCCTAGTTGACAAATAATTGCCTGCATGGACAGTGATGCTCACCATATGATTTTATGTATGTCTGAGGGAGGGCGCACTCACACCAGGATAGTCTGGGGGACTCTGTTCTATTGGATGGGGAATGCTGAAAAATTTCACACTTTAATTTGGTTCAGTTCACTTTCACACTGCACTTTCTAAAGTGGACCACACATGTTGGACAACATCATGCAGTTACAACAGCTGCTCCTTTGGGGTGGTATTGCCCGAAACGACCACTAACCAGGAAGGAAAAAAAGCATGAGTAAGAAGAAAACCCAACTCATCGATTGGCCAGGACCGAAAACGGAAATCCATCCCCTTTAAAAACCTCATTGTTTTTGTGGGTAGCCACAAGCAACTGCAATATACAGTCAGGTCCATAATTATTTGGACAATGATACAGTTGTCATTATTTTGGCTCTGTACACCACCACAATGGGTTTTAAATAAAACAATGAATACGTGCTTAAAGTGCAGACTCTCAGCTTTCATTTAAGGCTTTTTTCAAAAATATAGTATGAACCGTGTAGGAATTACAACCATTTCTTCACACAGTCCCCCGACTTTAAGGGCTCATAAGTATTTGGACAAACTAACATAATCATCAGTTAAACAGTCAGTTTTAATACTTGGTTGCAAATCCTTTACAGTCAATGACTGCCTGAAGTGTTGGACACATAGGCATCATCAGATGCTGGGTTTCTTCCCTGGTGATGCTCTGCCAGCCCTTTACTGCAGCCGTCTGCACTTCCTGCTTGTGTTTTGGGTGTTTTGCCCTCAGTTTTGGCTTCAGCAAGAGAAACGCATGCTCAGTTGGATTCAGGTCAGATGATATGACTTGGCCATTGCACAACATTCCACTTCTTTGCCTTAAAAATGTCTTTGGTTGCTTTTGCAGTATGCTTCAGGTCAATGTCCAACTGCACTGTGAAGCATCGTCCAATGAGTTTTGAAGCATTTAGTTGAATCTGAGCAGATAATGGTGCCCCAAACACTTCAGCTTTCATCCTGCTGCTCTTGTAAGCAAGACAAGACTTCACTAGAATAAATACAGAGGGTTTATCACAAGATGCAAACCATTGGTTAGCCTTAAAAATGGAAGGCCAGATTAGAGTTTGTCAAAAACCATCTAAAAAGCCTGTACAGTTGTGGAACAGCATACTATGGACAGATAAAACAAAGATCAACTACCAGAATGATGGGAAGACAAGAGAAGGAAGAAGGGAAGGAACTGCTCATGATCCAAAGCACACCACCTCATCAGTGAAGCATGGTGGAGGTACTGTTATGTCATGGCCATGTATGGCTGCCAGTGGAACTGGTTCTCTTGTATTTATTGATGATGTGACTGCTGACAAGAGCAGCAGGATGAAAGCTGAAGTGTTTGGGGCTACATTATCTGCTCAGATTCAACCAAATGCTTCAAAACTCATTGGACGATGCTTCACAGTGCAGTTGGACAATGACCTGAAGCATACTGCAAAAGCAACCAAAGACATTTTTAAGGCAAAGAAGTGGAATGTTGTGCAATGGCCAAGTCATATCATCTGACCTGAATCCAACTGAGCATGCGTTTCTCTTGCTGAAGCCAAAACTGAGGGCAAAACACCCAAAACACAAGCAGGAAGTGCAGACGGCTGCAGTAAAGGGCTGGCAGAGCATCACCAGGAAAGAAACCCAGCATCTGATGATGCCTATGTGTCCAACACTTCAGGCAGTCATTGACTGTAAAGGATTTGCAACCAAGTATTAAAACTGACTGTTTAATTGATGATTATGTTAGTTTGTCCAAATACTTATGAGCCCTTAAAGTCGGGGGACTGTGTGAAGAAATGGTTGTCATTCCTACACGGTTCATACTACATTTTTGAAAAAAGCCTTAAATGAAAGCTGAGAGTCTGCACTTTAAGCAGGTATTCATTGTTTCATTTAAAACCCATTGTGGTGGTGTACAGAGCCAAAATGACGACAACTATATCATTGTCCAAATAATTATGGACCTGACTGTATAGTCCTCTGACCATATATCAATAAGCGCCTGCACCTTCTCACTACTCCATGTCTGCCCACAAGACATTTTCCAGCTTTTTCTTTTTTTAACCTCTACTTCTCCCTGTTCGCTCTGTTGGCTTTGTTTGTTGCATTCTATGTCACTTCCTTTCTTTTGTTCACTTCCTCTTTTTGGTTCGCTGTATAGTCCATTTGCATTTCCCATTGTAAGAGAGCCGCACCAGGGTTCACTTGCAAGTGAACCGAGACCCCCAGTTTTCAAGTGGACCATGGGTTTGCTCGAGTTCTAATGAGCGTTCACATGACTCCAAATGAACCGAACTATCCGTGGAAGCGGACCAGGGTTCGTTTAAAGGGGACTAAACAGTGTGAAAGCGTCCTTAATGACATTTTTCAGTTCTTTTCTCATCAATCTCCCTTGCTTTGTGTGTGTTTGTATGAGCCATGGGGTTGTGGTGACATAAATGCTGTTGAAATTTAGCAGCGCATCCAGCATTTCTGCCGACTATGGTAATTACAATAACTGTGCAGACTCGACCTACTTGGCGCACCACAGGCATACATTGGTGTAGTAATGGTGTGGACCCAGTCCATGTGTAGAGCAAAGTAGGGAGAACGCATCAGCGTTTATATGTAGGTATCTGTTTAGAGATTATTGTCTCTCAACTACAACTGCATCCCTGTGTCTCAAGTTGCTAATCGGACTGTGGAGAGTGATCGTCACATGGAACAGAAGGAAGTCTTGGCCCTGATATCCACTGGCTACACCGGAAACCCCAGAAATATTGGCTATGGGCCCCCAAAGGCTAAATCATCATCAGACCAATAGCTGATGGTCTCTGAGATTAAACACTGATTCATTGAGAAGTTTGTCTTACTTTGTTAAACAAAAGAAGAGGGTTTCATAAAACTGTTATTCTCATTATTGATTCATCTGCAGATTGTTTTCCTTATTAACTGTTTGGATTAGAAAATGTCAGAAAAAAGTGAAAAATGCTCATCGTGATTTCTAAGCCAACAATCCAAAAAATCTTTAGGGAGAACACCACCTAACTCAGGAATGCCAGTGTGTTATTGCCATGGTCTAGTAAAGTTCAACCAATATTTGTGAACATGAGTTACTCTCTGCCAAAGCCAGAAACCAGAGAAGGAAGTATCAAACCTCTGATGTCATAGGGTGTACAGTCTGGAGCTGCTCTGTAAATAGTGAATGGAAGACTGATTTTGTCGAACCACAAAATGTTTGTTTTCTTCTTTTTTAATACCCAAATGATCTTTATTCTATTGTCGTGTTTTTCCACTCTGAAACAGAAAATGTACCCATATACTCAGAACATTCTCCTGGCTGCTCTCACTGTCATCTAGAACATCTTTCACTATTCATTGTCTGTGGAGCATCTCCAGACTTTATACCCTACGACATCATATATTTAAGTTTTAGCACTCTAGCTTTTGGATTTTGGAGAGAGTTCTTTATGTTTACTATTTTTTGGACTGTCTCAGAACATAGGAATAACAAATATGAATTTTGAAAACTGACATAGTTTCGCTTTATTTCACTATCACAGAAACTCTTAATATTCATACATCAAAAGCCAAAAGCAGTGGATTTTTTTGTTTTGCACCTGGCTTCAAAAATTATTTAAATGATTATTCCATTATCAAAAATAGTTTCTGATGAAGTTTACATTGATTGCCTAATTGACTGTTTTCAGTTCTAGTCTCTGAGAAATCCACTGTCAGGAAAAAGAACAACCACACTGATTGATTTGCAGCTTTTAATGCTGCAAACAGACCAACATAGAGCATGGATACCAAGAGGCGAAGCTCAATAGAACGCCCCATAGCAACAGACTCGCCCATGGTTTCCTCTTACCGCCGCCATATTGGACTGTCAGCAGACCGCAGCAGACCCGCTTGCATACATAAACACACAGACAAACTGAAGTATATCGCTATTAATTATGCTTACAGTGCTACTCACCTCATGATAGCTTGGTCACAGCTGCTTTTTCACGTTTTTGTAAAGCAAAATATAGACTTTAAAAAAAACAAAATGAGGAAAAACGGCCTAGATGGCACCTCTACATATTCCATCCACTTATGAGAAGATAAAAAAAAAAAATCTATATTTTAACTAGAATCACATTAATGGCGACGTCACATAGTCAGGAATAAAGATTTATTTACAGTTTGTACAGTAAGGGGACAGTAATAATAATAATATATAGGCTATTTTAATATGATATATTTTAATGCTAAAGCAGTAATCAGTTCTGATATAAATGGTCCAAGAGGCCATATATATATATGTATAGGCTATACATAACAAAACAAAACTGGCATATTAAATTAATATTAAAACACTTTAAAACTTACACCTCAGGAGTTCTTACCTGTCGGGATCCTTCGGGAAACGGTGGAAGGCCAGGTGCGGGGTGTTCCACTGATAGTTTTTGCCGTTAACTACACTACACTGTTT